TAATATATATATATATATATATATAATATATATATATATATATATATATATATATATATATATATATTATACGATGGAGTGGAAATTCTTTTTATGATTATCCAACGTAAGCGGGCCTTTGAAATGTCTCTGACACACCTCGCACATGTAACGATTCTTGTCGTGACTTTTCAAATGCTTGTTCAACAGATCCTTCCTCGCGAATGTCTTCTCGCAAAAGGTGCACGAGAATTTGTCCGGGTTCACGTGGAACGCGTTGTGCCTGGACAAATTGTCCATTCTGGTGTATTTCTTGGTGCAAATGTCGCAGGTAAACATGGTCCTCTCCGAATGACACCTCTGATGGTATCTTAGATACCGTTTCTGGGCGAACGTTTTTTTGCACGCGCAACATATCACCTGATTCGACTCGTCCTTCTTCACGTCCATGTGATCGGCCAACTCGTCGCTGTTGCCGAACGCTTGCTTACAAAATTCGCACATGTACCGCTTCGTCTGTTTGTTCTTTTGTATATTATCTAGGAACGTCGGATCTGTCATGATTTTATAAAGAAAAGTATCTTTTAACTTATCATCGGATCCCACATTGTGATTCGACACGTCTTTCTCCTGACAATCTCTTTTGCACAAATTAAGAGCCTCCTCTCTCTCTTCTTCGTCTTTGTTTTCGCACGATTCCGAATCTTCTTTGCTCGAACAGCCGGCAACGCAGGAATAATTTTCCGATTCCGTCTCCGATGTTATTATCTAAAACAGATCGATCACGATATATAACATGGTGGAAAAATAATGGTAAATCGGTAGACTGAGAATATTTATCTAAATATTTGTGTAAAACAGAGGCAAGGAACGAAGAAGTTGCGTAGAAATGCTTTGCGATATGAAATATATATCGATATCACGATAATACGTTTCTTTCACACGGTGTATAATTTTCTATCTCATTATTTTTCGCACATTCTCTTCAACATTTCCTACGATATTGATACAGACGAGTATCGTATACGCAAGCACTCGCAGCTTATCAATTATTAATGATAGAATGTATCATACATTGTTATTGTCGTCGTTGCTAACAAATTCCTTTGTATCTCTCTTTGAGTGCGAGTTGGAATAATTGCAACTTGGACCAGCTATCAAGCTGAGAAGCACCGAATCCTCTTCGATCTAAAAAAAAAAAAAAGAATAAATTATATTTGAAAAAAGGTAAACGATATATCACACAAATGTAACGTATCATCGTTTATTTTTGAAGGAAAAAACCGATGCACTTGATAAAATCGTGTATTATCGATAAATTCAAGGGAGAACGATGACGTATACGCGCGCGAGTTCTTCGAGTTCAACGAAACTACATTGGCACGAAACTTACAATCACACGCTTACATTCTCGCTACACGCATAATACGTACCTTGATCGACATGTTCAACACTTTTTCCAAATGGATCGATGTTTCCATCTTCTCCTTGACTTTCACGGATAGATGATCTTTCGACTGATCTCTGCCCGAATCCGTCGACTCGAGTAACGTATCGCTCTCGCCTTTTGACACTTCCTTTTCCTCATCGTTCGAGCGTTGTTCCGAATTTTCAATTTTTCTAGTAACCGTTTCAGACACCGAGCCAACGTTCGCGTTACCTTGAGATATCCTCTGCCTCGGCACGGTTTTCACTCTCATATTTGTTTACTACAAAGTAATTCCGGCTGAAAATATGTACACACATGTATATATGTATATCGGCAATATTATCGTGTATAAAATTTAAACTAAAACGAAAAAAAAAAACATATCAATTATTTCGTCTGCTCGTCGAAAATTTAAATTCGAAAGGAATCGTGCATGCACATTATATCATTACACGTACGTATAAGATATGTATATATATATATATATCAAAATATTAAATATTAAACATTCATTTAACTATAAAACTCGTCGTCTCGGGAATCAAATGTATTAATCATAAAACGAATTTTATACAAAGTTTAAACGCGTCGAAAGAACTGTACTTACACGATGCATCCGTGTTATGGCAAAGTAACAAATTTCTCGAAATACGAGTAAAAATTGAATACTTTGCTTTGTACCATGAATCAAGTATAAATTATATACGTTGAATAGGGAATGTTTCAATATACGACACACATTTCACAGCTCGTCGACAGTGACTGAGAAGAATCCTCGTGTTTAGTTGACCTCGTGTTGACTTTGATGGTTGACACAACAAAGGACGCCAGGCGGAGTCGCCGCTCGGAAATCCAAGTTTGCAAACACAGGGCTGCCTTCGACGAAATCCAATCTGCTTACCGGCTTTCTTACTGATCGCCAATGTCGGCACATATTTTTTCTATCAACTATTTACTCGTATCCCGTTCGTAATAAGATAGAATTATCGTATTGATCCCGTAACACGAGTTCACTTTTACTTTTAATTTCTGAAATTAGACTACAAATCGTGGATATACCACTTTCTTCTTTCTTCCTCTAACTAACTTTCTTCTCTTTTCTTCTTTATTTCAATCCAAGGTGATATCGATAAATTACGCGATATTTTTAATTTTATTTTTTTCTTTCTTCTTTTTTTTTCCCCCCCCCAAAAAAAATTAACACCGAAAATTTATTATTAAACACAACATGGATTATTTCGAATTATTTGAATTTTTCCTTGGATATCTTATACCTTGGAAAAGAAAAATAATTTTGTAATTCTGAACCAAGGGAATCGAGAATAAATTAAATCTCTTGGGCCGAGGTTTTCCAACACGTTCGGAAAAATCTCCTTTCCTTCGCTTCGATCGGAGAGAGAAGGAAAGTTGGCCCATAACAGATCGGTCTATTTTCACGAAAGAACAAACGTTTGCTTATTGTTAGTCGAACAGAGTGATCACCGTAACGAGACCGAGGAAACGAACTGTTGAACGAGAAATAAAGACGGAAGAACGAACAGACAGACAGACAGACGGACAGACAGACAGGCAGGCAGGCAGGCAGGCAGGCAGGCACACGGACGAACGGACGGACGGACAGAGAGAGAGAGAGAGAGAGAGGTATAGCGGAGGCGGATAGGGAAGATGGGGTCAAGCATAAAATTGGCAAAAAAAGCCTCGATGTTTGGTAGGATGTTTCGTGTCCCCTCCTCGCGCGCCCCGGTCGTTAATACGGCATAAGGAGGAGGCAGGAGTTAAGCGAGGGTGAAGCGAGGATTTTTAATTGTAGTTCAACCCGGTATAACCCCGCTCGACCCGCCGGTATTGTCATACCGGAGCGCCGCTTTTCTTTATTTCCCCAGTGGCTGGATGAGGTTATACATTTTTTTTTAACTACGGCAATGCCTCCTCCGTCTTCTTATTAGCAAAGCTAATTGGAAATACAAATGGTTATTCACGGTTATAAGAAGGAAGGCCGAAGACCGACTGCCAGAGCACCGCCAACCGATGGAGGGCTGGCTCCCGCCGGTGAACGAACACAAGTAACGAGGGAGGGGGAGGGGAGTACACCCCCCCCCTCTCTCTCTCTCTCTCTCTCTCTCTCCGCGTATTAAGCTTGTATTTGCCCCGGATAATTACGACTTTTTCCCGACCAATTCGGGATGAATAATTGATTTTCCTTCGCCTCCTCCCCTCGGCCAGTGACAATCGCTCGAAGAAAAATACGGATCTTCCCGATGAAATATTCATTCGACTCATGGTGGATAGGTGCTCGTTTTGCTCTCTCGTCTCGTCCTTTCGAATTTCTTTTTTCCTTTTTTTTCTCTTTTTTTTTTTTTCTTCTTTCTCTCTTTCTTTTCCGACGTTGGTCGATCGAATTCGACGGATGAAATCGCGAGAATCGAGCGAAGGGATGGATCGAGTCGGTCGAGCGGCAGGCAATCTCGCAGAAGGTTGCTTCCTGGCGAAGGAACGCCCGTGGGGCTCCACAACTTTTTTTCATCAGCATTTTACGGTTACGCTCGCGCATTAATAATGCACATGCTTAATATAAAAAGAAGCCCGCGAGTCTTGTTCGTCTAATAAACTGGAAGAATGCTTTATAACCGGCCGCGGTTTCGGGTCAGAGGGTGGCGGTGGAGAAGGAGCAGTTTGCTGAAAGCCGGTTAAAAAAGGAGGTGGCTTTCCTTTTTTTCTTTTCTTTTTACGACCAATCTCTCCAGGACGCGTCGAACGAAAGTAGACAAATCGCCGCGCGACCAAAACCACCTCGCTCGTTAAACACTCGACTTGCCTCGTTACCTCTTCCCAACTTTTCCACCAATTCTATATCCCTCCCCCCTCCCCCCCGAAAAATCTCGCCCCCTTCGAGGGAGGGACTTGGAAAATTCGAGTTTTCTCTTTACTTTCCTCGCGTTACATTTACACCCGAGGATTAAGCAAAGCGGACAGAGATATTTTTCTATCAATTTTGCCCGCGGAGTTCAAAGTTTTATTCATCGGGTCATCATCGCCGTTTTCGAATGTAAATCATTTTTCCGGGCCGGGCCCGGAATTTTCATATTCATCTTATCCTCGCGAGTGAATTTTTCGTTCTCCCGGCTGATTTGCCGAGCGAGAGGAGGCCGCCGTCGAGATAGGAGTAGCGAGAGGTGAGACTTTTTGAAAAATATGAGTTTAATAAAGAAGAAAGTATGATGTATGATAGCCCGGCCGCGAAGGGAGAGAACTTGCCGGGATCAACCGACTTCGATACCCAGATATTGTATGCGTAATATAAGCAGACGAAGGGAATTGCCGTGCGCGATATTTCACTGCCGCGTTCGACTCGCTTCTTCGTTCGAAAATCCTTCTCGGTCGAATGATGAGGAAAGTCGATAAAGAAAAGTTTTACGCGCGTTTAAAAAAAATTGACCGAACACTTTTTCCTTTATCGCCCCTCGTCGAAACGATAAAACAGGATGTAAACGGGGAATCTGCGAGTGGAAATCGATGACGTCTCGACGGGGAGAGATATCCAGAGCAAGTTATCCGGATAAGGGGTTGTAAAACGACGTTAGCTATCCGCCAATACGGTTTCCCTCCTTCTTGCATCCAGATTGCGGCCAGATACGAGCCGATAGGAATTCGCGCCGTTTGAATACTACGTTTTCCCTTATTTTCGTATCGAGTTGACTTTTCTCTTAATTATTCTGATCGCAATCCGTTAGAGGAACACCTGGATATGGAATAATATGCATCGTAGGCATCGTTGTTTATCAACCTGTACCCGTCCAAAAGTACTTACTTAGAGCGTAGTCGGGTGGTGCCCGTCAATGGCGTTTCTTAGCTTATGCATAAAGCTCCCTCCTCCTTGTCTCCTACCCTTCTCATCTCTCACGATTCCAGCCTCCCCTCCCCTTTTCATCGAAGCTTCAACCCCTTCTTGGACCGGTAGCAAGCAGCGTCTCGCTCGCTCGTTTCCGCCAGGATGTATCGCAAAATCTATACCGCGTGGAGGGCGCGAGGAGGTGAGACGAAGGTCTGTGGGGGAGGGGAGGAGCCGAGAGTCAGAGGATGAGACGGAAGAGTGGGCGATGTGGCGGAGGCCAGGGCGGTTTTCGAGAAGGGTGAGCCCCGTCACATTTCACTACAGACTAATAACTTCTGAATATTCATTTCGTGTTTCTCCTTGCCTGCTTGCGTACCCATAAGCAAGGCTAATGCGACGCTCACAACGCTCCCCAACGATTTTCCTTCGACTTTCTTCCCTTAGGAAAAAACGGGGCGGATCCTCGGCCGTTGTTGCGTGATCGTATACGTTGTTGTTGTCCGATCGAGGCGATATCTCGGAATGGAAAGTGATAATTTTCGTTTTCGACGACCACGACCACGACCACGACCACGACCACGACCACGACGACCACGACGACGACGACGACGGAGTCGAGATGTCGGTATTCTCTTCTCTTTCGAGAAAGAATCGTACGCGAATCGTGGTTGCGCGATTTAGGGAAAGGTTGGATCGAACGCTGGATCAAAATCAGATTTCGTGTGAGGCGAGCTTAAGGAACACGTAACTCTCCTTCGTCGAAGCGAGAAAAACAGAACAGCTTGAAGGCGAGGGAAAAGCGAGAGAGGCGGTCGTCATGGTAACTATGAATTAAGTAATCAATGAATTATTATTGACATTGATGTTTTCGTCCGGCTTCTTATCTCCTCTTCGAATCTCGAAGAAACGCGTAATCTCTCTTTCCCCCTCCCACCCCTCCCTCCTCTCCCCTATTGGATTAATACACGAGGGTACGAAGGTGTTTCTTCCCTTCTTCTATTTTCGCGACGATCATCCGCGAACGACAAATCTCGATAATTTCTCCCTAATCCAATTCCAATAATCAACGCGATTCGATAAAATTCCCAGCTCCTAGAGGAGGTGTTGTATATCAGTCGCGACTCCTTCAAGCGTCACGAATTACGTATTATCAATTAATTAGAAGATGTTCCCTGCTAATTTCTCCCCTTCTCCCCTCCCCCTCCTGTCTTTCTTCCTTATCGACAAAGAGTCGTTCCTAATTCGAAATGGAACTCGTAGAAAATGCGATGGAGATGGTGGAGGGAGGGAGGAGGGGTGGCCGGAAGGAGAAGCGGAACGGGCGAACGAGAGAACGCGCCTGCTTCAATTCCGCGATCTCTGCAACAAATTAGCACGGACAAATTTCTCCCTCCTCTCTCGAACTCTCCCTCTTCTTCTCTTGTCTGTTTCTTCGACGCGTGCTCGCCCTGAAATTTTGCCCTCGTCGGGTGTCGAAACAACAAGAAGAAGAATCTCCGCGTTGATCGAGAGAGAAACCTAATTTCCATTCCTCCGGTTTGTTTCACGGCCGATTTTCATTCATTCTTTCCTTGGAACGGGCGAAGCGAAGAAAAATCGAAACTTAAGCGATTATATTATCGATACAATAATCGATAGTTTGGATAGTAGGAGCGTATAAAGAGAACGTTCGAATCGGAGATTAAAGCTCGAACGTTCGTAATATTCGGTTGAGGACGACGCAACGAAGTAGAACTAATTAAATAGCGGAGTAGGAACGATAAAAAAAAAAAGAAGCATTCTACGTTTGTTCACCACGACGACCACGACTCGCGTGATATATTTCAACACCCACGCATTTTCTCCGTTCCACCGGTTTATTTCACTTAATCGTGGCGGCGGCTATATGCGTGTAATATATTTCACGACACGCCGCGTAGCTCGTCTTGTAAAAAAGTCGTGTCGCTCGCGACGAAAATCCTTTGTCTACAATCGTAACGATGCACACGAGAGATTCGAAATCGAGGAATACTTTGCGTGCAAGATAGAGAGAGAGAGAGAGAGAGGAGGACGTAAGAACAAAACGAATAGT